AAAAAATAAGAACAATTCTTGGGTTCTATCTCATGTCCATGTCATCTAATTAAATGAATTAATATAATTCATATTATTATTAAATCCAAACCAAAATTAGCCATGTCATCTAATTAAATGAATTAATATAATTCATATTATTATTAAATCCAAACCAAAATTTAATTCATTTAATTTTTTTAACTACAAAATCTAAACTCTAACCACTATTTTATCAACCCAAACTTATATATATTTTTGTTTATTTATAAAATCTAAACCATAATCACTATTTTATCAACCCAAACCGAAATATAATTTTGTTTAATTACAAAATCGAAATACTAACCACTATTTTATCAATCCAAACCGAATTTTGTTTTTAAATTATAAAATTCAAACCCTAACCACTATTTTATAAACCTAAACCAAAATATAATTTCATTTGTTTATATAATCTAAACATTAACCACTCTTTTATAAACTCACACCGATTATAAATTCCTTAATAAAAGTCCTACAGAATTTCTTTCCTTTATTTTGTTTTATTTTAAAGATTTTAATTTTGATTTTTTTAAAATAAAAGATGACATGGTATATTGTTATATTTTGATTGGCTAATTAAGAGAGAGTGAACCTTAGTATTTTTAAAAAAGTAATTGCCATCTTGACTTTTATAATATACTAGATAAGGACCCGCGTAAAACCGCGGGTTAAAATTTATGTTTTCATGTATGTACTAATAATATTGCATGTGTTAAACTATCGATCACCAAAACAACTGTGAGCTATTCACCATTTTTCATATTATTACCATTACCAAAAAAAATTAAAAACTTAATATAGATATTATACCCTAAACATGATTATACCATTCTCCTAAAAATGTTATTTCCTAATTTCCAGTTAAAAAAAAAAATTCTCGCATATTTTTTTACTTTGCAATTTATTGTATTTCTTAAACTTAATTAATTATTAAAAAAATTTGATGGTAAAGTTCTTAAAATGAGTTATAGTGTCGTTGAGATAAACATTAAGAAATTTTTTTAAATGTGAAAGAATACAAAATTACTTATTTGAAAAAAAAAAATTAGAAATCATTTCACTACGAATTATATTGACTTTTGTTATCCTTATTATAAGTTAATAATGTCTCTTTTCTAGTTCCTTTTTATTCACCCTTCTTGTTTTAACCAATGAGATTGCACTATGACATATTACCTTTAAATATAAATAAAATTAAACAACATTTAGATATAAATTAAAAATTAAAAAATTATCAAATATTAAAAAATCATATAATAAACATATTTCTTTTGCTAAACCCATAATCTCATAGAATTGTACAATCTAAATCTTAATTCTCTTTTATAAATTGAAACATATATATAACCTTGTATAAATTGTGTAATCAAAACTCTACTCCTTATTTATAAACATAAATCGACATAAACCATTTTTTAATAGTAAAATCTAAACCATAATGCTCATTTATAAATTCAGGCAACCATATAGCATGTTTAGTTGTAAAAACTAAACTTTAATCCCTCTTTATAAACTAAATTGACATATAATATTTTTTAATTATAAATATTAAACCCTAATCTCTTTGATAAACCCAGACCGGCATAACTAAATATTAGGTTAATAATTTAATTATAAGTAAAAATTTCTAAGTATTTTAATTTTGTTTGTAATTTTCTATTTTTATCTAATTTTTTACAAAATAGATGTGTCATATTCCGTCATCTAATGTTTTACTTGAGATATATCACAATCACGTTATTTAATAACTTTGAAAACCAAGTTTTATAGAATAAGAATTTATGAATTAACATAAAAAACCATTATAATTAGGTATAATTATATATATGTATATTACTTATGCAGAATTTTTTTACGATAGGTTTATAAATTTAATTTTACAATATTTTAATATATCGTTAACTTACACATGTACACATGTCAATATCTTATCGATACAACTGACGCATGTTACATCAATCCAAACTTATTTAAATTAACTTACTGAATAAAAATATTTAAATATTACATATATTCACGACAATGCAAATATTTTTTAATATTATCTATTAGTTGACTAACTTGTTGTATTTTTTTCTTTATTTGTTATTTTTTATTTCTTAGACATAATTTTTATAATTTTTATTAATAATTTTATTTTATAATTACTATCCTTTTTCCTTTAGGACTACTACTAAATAATTGTTAAATTTCCTGATTTTTATTTTCTTCTTTCTATTTTGAAAATATTCTTTTTAAAAAACTAATTTTTATAATTTTTACCATTAATTATTTGACACGTGTCAACATCTTATCAATTCAATTAACACGTGTCACGATCTTGTTAATGACTAACTTTGAAAACCCAACTTACCCAACTTTATATAATAAGATATGGAAGTCAAAAAATAATTTTATTTTTGAGTTAGTACAAGATTGTTCTACTTCCTTGGTTATTTAGGCTCAAGCTGATGTAAATGAGTGTATTACGTCCACACACTCTATGGGTTGATCTCATTCATGGAAGCGTCCAACATCTCTTTTTATTAAGTGTAATTATGAGAACATGTAGTCTACACAAACTCCATTAGAAGCTGAAGGAAAATCACTAATCGTAGCTATGCAGCAAGCTTGGATTCGAGGATTTACAACGATTTTGTTTTTGAAGATGATTGTGAGGTTCTTGTTAAACGTATATGATGTATGATTATGATATATATCGGGGAGGAAGAGTCGCGGGCGCTTGGATCTCACTCACATCGATTTTTCTCTCAAAAAAGTTTTTTCTTCTGATCACAATTTTGTACGCCGTCGTCGGGGTTCTCCGTTAATTCCAGTGACGATGAGAGCCCCATGGCTCATGGTTCTTCATCTGTAATCCGCTGCATCATTTTAAGCAAAGCAATATGACCAAATCCAAGAGAGAAGTGGAGAGGAGAAGCTTCCGTGAGACATCAACGGTTTGATCTACCGGCGATGTAGCGACGCAGATTAGAAGAGGGATATTCACAGCAAAGAAAGAAAAAGGATAGTGGTAAGATCTGAAGAATGAAGATTCTGGAGGGTTTACTGCGCCGTCGTTCAATGGGGGAGATTGTCTACGGCTAGGTAAAGCTAAGCCACCGTTGGAAGTCTCTAGATCTACTCCTTATTGCTATTTCTTTTTCACGTCTGAGCTTGGATCTCCTCGACAAGGACAAGCTCACTTATCTTCTTCCTCCTCAAAACGGTTCTACGGTGGCGGGATGGCAGTAGATCCACCATCTCCGTTCGGCATTCGTTGTCCAGGCTCGCCGGAAGCCATGGTCCGGTGAGGATTCGCAGTTCTTGGGCGGCGGTTCTGGTTGTGTTCTACGATCAGAGAATAGGGTTTTGTGTAACTAGTTTAGTTCGGTTCATGAAATCGGGTCGGGTTTGGTTTATTGTTTGGTTTGGTTTGTTGTATGTGAATTGAGCCATTTGTGATTATAATGGGCCTAAATCTGGAAATAACCTATAGGGCACCTATTTATAAAAATTTGCAAGCTTGTTTCAAAAAAAAATGATTATGATATATCTATAGCTAGTTTCTATCAGAGTGATTCTTGTTATTGGGTGTCAAAATTTCTAGAAGTGGTATATATATTTGTTAAAAAGAGTTTGTAATAAGGTAGCTCATTTGTTAGCCAAACATGGTTGTATGATTTTTGCTTATTACTCTGATCACTTTTGTCCGTCACCATGGCTTTCCGAACAATTGTATTATGACTTTTATAAATTTATAAATAAAGTAATATTTGCTGGAAAACAATTATTTTAACACTATTTGTTTTAATAATTAATTTTACCTCTAATATTTTTCTTAAGAGTATACAAACAAAATTTCAATGCTATATGTGGGCAAAAAAACCGAATACCGAATAACCGAACCAAAATAACTGGTTTGATTTGGTTATGATTAAGTCTAAATATCCATTTGGTTTTTATTTTGATTAAGTCTTTGGTTTAGGTCCGGTCTGGTTAAAACCAGCAAAACCAAATGGTTCTTTTTGTTTTTCTATAAAAATTTAGAATAATTATATATAGTTATCTTCTCCAATTTATAAATAAATATTATATAAAGTATTATTAAGTTTTATTTTAATAAACAAAAATTTGTCATTAAATTGCTATATAAATAAATTTCTAACATAATTTATATTTATTATTAATATAAAATAATAATAAAAAATAACAGTCACAGCTTTAAAAGTGGTGCAATATCAATCAGATTTTAACAGTAAAAGTTTTTACAGCTAAAACATTTACAGCCAAATTCTTTGCAGCTAAAATTTTAAAGTCAAAGTTTACAGCCAAAAGTAACATTAGTTACCAATCAGAGCTTAAGTCTCTAATCTCTAACCTATTATTGAGTGATGACGAATTGACAATGATACAAATGCAAGTTATTTTTTTTTGGTTTTTTTTTTGTTCCAATAGCTTTTAATTATTAAAATTGAAACAAAGAATTTGGGTTTACAAAACTTAATTTTATGCTTTTTTATATATATATTGTTTTTAAAGCATGGAATAACTGTTAAAAATCGAAACCGAACCAAAACCAAACCGAACCGTAATACATAAAGTTTTATTTATAAAATTAAAAAAACTATAGACCGTAAAAACCGAACCATAACCAAACCAAAATACAAATGGTTTCTATATAGTTACAATATTGTCAAACCGAAAAAACCGAACAAAAAAAAAAAAACCAAAATCAAACCGAAAAACCGAACGCTGCGCCTTGTTTACATTAACTTTTACTTTGAAGTAAGCAAAGTCAAGATGATGTAACCATTAGTAAAAAGTAAAAAAAAACATAATGTAATACCTAGCTTCTTACGGCGTACTAGAATATCGTTAAAATTTAGAATTTAAATTAAATATTTCTATTAAACCAAAAATGCTTTTTATATACGAAACTCAAAAAATCCATACTTTTCAAAGAGGCGTGATTTTTAAAATCTCCCCAAAAAAAAAAAAAAAAAAAAAAAATCAAATCCGAAGAGGTGATTTTGAAATTTCAGATAACGCTGAAATTTTATTTACTCTCGCCGGAGTTTTCTCCTCTCACCGTCTTCTCTCTCGCCGCCGCCGTACACAGTTGTTCTTCTCCAAACTACAGTTTCCTCCTCCGCCGGTAACTTTACCTTTCCCGATCTCTACTTTGTTACTTCATCGTTTGCCCTAGTTTTCGTGTATTGTGATTGAGTTTTTTAAGTTTCTTCGATTCTTCGTATATCTTCATCTTCTCGATCTGAAAAAATAGCGAAATTGTTCATTCACCTTGTTCAATCCTCAATTTCATGACTTCGATTGTGATTTTTCTCCACAGCTAAGCTCATTTCAATGGTTGATTCGAGTATTGATGATTAAGCTTGTTTTTTTTTGCTTACAGCTCTTGAAGATGATTGGATCGTTTCTTACAAGAGGATTGGTGTAAGAGTCCTTATGCTAAATTTTTAAACAATGATTTTGGAGTTTAAGTGTTGATTAAGCTTTTATTCTTTGTAAATATCAATACATTTTGTTGTAGGATGGTGTTGGGTTATGCTTACCCTGCTTATGAATGTTACAAGACTGTTGAAAAGAATAGGCCTGAAATCGAACAGCTTCGGTTTTGGTGCCAGTACTGGTAATTGTTCGCCTTTTTCTTCGTCTCCTGTTCGTTTAAGGTTGAATGTTTTTGGTGCTTGATGACTTAGTTTTAAGTAACTTATCAAATCACAGGATATTGGTTGCTTGCTTGACAGTTTTTGAGAGAGTTGGTGATGCGTTTGTTTCGTGGTGGGTATATTCTAAACCAAAGCTGCTTAGTTAGTTATCTCGAACTAGAACAATGTTTTTGATGATTGTTTGGTCTTTGTTTAGGGTTCCGATGTATAGTGAAGCTAAGTTGGCTTTCTTCATATACCTTTGGTATCCTAAAACCAGGGTAAGTGTGTGTATATATGATTTGAGGAAAACACATTGAGTCTTTATATGGTGTATGTGATTATTTTTTGATGAATGTTTAGGGTACAACATATGTCTACGAGTCCTTCTTTAGGCCGTATCTATCACAGCATGAGAATGACATAGACCATAGTTTGTTGGAGCTAAGGACAAGAGCTGGAGATATGGCTGTTATATACTGGCAACGAGTTGCAAGCTATGGGCAGACTAGAATCCTCGAGATTTTGCAGTATGTTGCTGCACAATCAACTCCAAGGCCGCAGCCACCTCAGGTACGTGTAAAACCCCGGCAATGAGTATCACTACTTGTTGCCTTTTTTTGTAGAGAATCAGTCACAAAACCTAACTGAATTCGCATATAATGTTCTGTCATACTTGTGTTCGTTTGTGATTCAGAAACGTGGAGGTAGAGCTAATCAAGCTCCTGCTAAGCCAAAGAAAGCCCCTATCCCCCAACCAGAATCTGAAGACGCATCATTACCCTTGTCGTCTAGCTCATCGTCAAGTGAAAATGAAGGCAGTGAACCAACCGGTAAAGCAGCAGGCCCGTCAAGACCTAGACCAAAAGTGACATCTGTTCCAGTCACAGAGACCAAAACCACTGGTATCACTCAGATAACACAAAAATCAGTCTCTTCCCCGGTTGTAACCCCAACTCAATCAACAACCCAAGTAGAAACAGAATCAATGCAGATAGATTCAGTGGAAGGAGAAGCAGAATCAGGGAATGAAAATCCGAATCCCGAAGGTCCTAAAGAGACAGTGATGGAGGAGACAATCAGGATGACTCGTGGGAGGTTGAGGAAGACGCGTTCTGAGGAAAGCCGTTGAAAGAAGAAAGAAGAAAGAAGCTCTGTTCTTTACAAAATTGTTAATTACTTGGATAAAATTGGTGGCTCTTCTCTCTTTTTACTGCTTCTAGAATTACGTTTGACAGTAACTAACAAACTTGTATGAAAAGTAAATTTGTTGGTTTCGTTCTTTCATTCATCATTCTGTTAGTTGCGTTTAAAAAGTGTAGACATAACAACTCTTGTTTTGTTTGTTTCTCTAGATGACTAATTCTGTAAAATAGGTACAACTACTTGAGAGTAGAAATGAAGCAAGATCAGTTCGTAAACTAAGGATATGAAGCAGTTCAAAGTTGCCTAATCATGTACTCAAAGACCACTAGAAGACGAAGTAGGTGGTTTGTGTAAAGCTCAAACAAAAGAAAAAGAGATATGAAAGAAGACTGAAGAAAAAAATATTAATCTTTTTGTGGAGGTGGTGGTTGATGATATTCGTATTAGTTATCATGACTTATCCACATTGCAAAATCTAATCTTTAGGAAGAAGTTGATATTTTAACATTTAGTCTTTATAACCTAACAACTTGTTAATACTTAGTAGCCAGAACCAAACCTATAAAAAATTAAAAACTGAAAAAACTCAGATTTTGGAAAAGACTCGGAGGTAGATATTTTAAACCATTTGACTAAAGACAATTTTCTTGTTCATGTAGTGTTACTATATTATGTGAATTAGGTAACTAATAAGGATTTGAGAATTAGTTAGAAAACCAAACAAATCCTAGTCAGCATTTGTTAATGGAGTAGTAACGTCGTCTATTGATTTGGTGGTTTATTATCGGTTTTAAATTGTTCATGTTGGAAATTCGATTGTTAGTTAAGTTCATGTAATTATAAGCACGGCTCAAAGTTTTGTGTATGAAATACAATAAAGCAACTAAGTTCAGGGGGGTTCAGTAGGCCGTTTTCTAGAAAAAAAACCCATATAGTTGCAAAGAACAAGCGACGTCTAAATATGAAAATTTGAGTTGGCTAAACTTATATCTTGAATCAAGAGGAAAGGCAAAACGGTTTAAATAGGTTGTATTTATAATTTCTTACAAAATTCTTCAATTCAAAATCTAGATTGTATATAAATTCGGTTTAAAGGCCCATTTCCCGTTTTTGAAATCAAACATTTTTTTATTACGTACAAAAAAACATTAGAAACACAATTTTTTAAAAAAATATCAATTTGATACGAAAAATTCTATTTTATTTTGGAAACACTATGAAAACTATTAATTATATTTGAATTTCACTAAGAAAATAATTACATAATTGAGACTAATATTTGGTGATTTGAGTTTGATGATCTTTCTCTTTACAAACCATAGTTAGAGACTCAGAGGCAGTTTTGTTCAATTACAATGCATATACACAGATAGATATAGTGGTTTTGCTCCACTTGCTACACTACAATTACAGCATAGTTTTACTCTCTTACACAAGTCACACTAGTAGCTACTCTACATACTAATTGGAACTCTAGTTCCTTAATTCACTCTCACTCATTCATGATTCAACAACTTTAACAACTCACTTAGACTCTAACTAGGACTTAGTTTACTTTAGTTATTACAACATCTACTTGTTGGCCTTAACTAAATAAACACAAACACTTATTCATATAGGCCTTATCTCATCTCTGCAGCCCATTATAACGAAACACAAAACCCAACTTCTCAAAAGTGCTGGAACTTTAAATTCGTTTAAGAAAATGTCAAATGAAACATACAGTTAACTAGATTTTAACCCATGGTACAGCAGACTAAACTTTTTATTTTATTTTAAATTTATTTTTTTTATCAGCTAAAATTTATTTTAAAATTATCAAAATTATATAATATCAAACTTAATTAAAATCAGTTTATTCGACATTTTTTTATATTGGTATTATAATAAAATTCTAACTTGTTTTAAAGTATAAGATTCAATTTTGTTCCGTCATACAATCCGTCGTACAACCCTTGTATAAATGTTATTTTTAAAACAAACAAAGATTTTAATAACTGTTTCTATAGGTATTCGTATTTCGCATAAACCTTGCCACGATGTTAGACAATCAAAGAACAAACCGATGAAAAGTTTGTTTACATCAACCCTGGAATGTGAATGAAGCAATCTCAGTCAATTACTCAATCGCATTTAACTGCGTAGATTCGAACAAATTGTCATATTCATCTATGTAAATGAATTTCATTATAGGTCAAGAGATCGATTCTACTATTCCGTTTTCGAAATCTTTCGAGGTTAGTTGTTACCCTCGAAGAGTTCGTTTATGAAAGATTTCGAATCTACCTAAAACACCTTGTAATAACGACCCTCATTGTCATACTCCTTTTGGTAACTCATTGTTCTCACAAGATCCTCTCTTTATTTGAAACTCAGGTGAATCATGTTGTAACAAAGTTACTAGATTGTGATATATAACATAGTAGATAAAATACATTCAAAGATGAGAGACGTTATAGCATAAAAACATAAAAGCAAAAATCAGCAAAGCCACATTTACTAAAGTTACTTTGTTCTCTCTACAAAAACAAGAATCCTTAGTTTTACGTACTCTTCTTTCCATCTGGACTATGGCCAATAGACTCCAACTGGTTCCTCAAATTCTGATTATCTTCAAGAAGCCTATCGTACTCTAGAAGAAACCCATCTGCTTGCTTTCTCAATGCCTCTGTTTCACCTTTTGCTCCTTTCAGTTCTTTGCCTTTGCTTTCGCTTTCCGATTCTAATGTCTTGATCTTCGTCTTTAACGCTACGATTTCTTCCCCGAGAGCTTTCACTTCCTCCCCGCTTGTGGTTTTCCCATCCTCGAAACCTCTGTTCTGTTTCTTTGCAGTCTCCATTGTCTTCCTTAACAACCTAAGCTCTCTGATGTAATGGTGAAGTCGATCAATCATAAGAGAGAGGAACAGCACAAATCCTGTAATATCAAAACATTCAATCAACTCAGAGAGTAATAAAATTATCATAATCCTCTTCTTAAACTGTACCTAAATCCAATTTTACTTAGTGAGAATAAGCCTAAAATCAGATTCATACTAGTAACAACCGTAATATGATCAGATCTAATGTAATGGTCTTATTCGATTCAATCATAAACGAGAGAAACAACACGAATCCTGAAACATAAAGAGTACATAAACCTCAAAAGTAACCCTAATCAAATCAGATTCTTTCTTAGAATGGTACCCTTGATCAGATCATAGGATCACAATTTTTCCTTCATCACACTCCTGAATTCAATAACTATACCTACAAACAATTCTTACTGCTCCTTAATCACTGTATTAAGAGAAACACCACAATTCTTGAAACTATGCAACCTCAAGAACTATACTTACTGCTCTAAGAGAGTAACTCTTAAGCAAATCAGATTCATATTAGAATGGTAAAATGATCAAAACTAAACCTTTTGAAACTGGATAAGGTAACACTAAGGATCAAGCTTTCCTCCTTAACTATTGTACTAAGAGAAACATCACAATTCCTCAATCAAACACTAAACGAAGAGTAACCCCAAATCAAACCCAGATTCATATCAAAATTGCAATATGATCAGATCTAAGAATCAATTTCTTACTGAATCAAGAGATCGAAAAGATTTAGTGATGTTTATTACCCATAAGAGAAGCTTCGAGAAGATGCTTAGAAGCGAGGACTTGATCAGTAGGATTAAGAACAGCACCATCTTCAGATCGGCGTTGGATATTAACCAAACTGTAAACGCTAGACAGTAGAACGACGAACACGGTGGTTCCGATGGTTTTCACGACGACGGGACCACGGCCGCGTTTGATTTTGTCGAAGGTGAGGATGATTAGCTTCCGGAGAGGCGTTTTGAAGAGGAGGAGAAGAATCAACGCCATTTCCGAGAAGATCACTGAGTAAAGGAGGTGAATCATCGTTACGTTTCGTTCGTCGCCGGTGAGAAGTTTAAAACCCTAGATTGATCGGAGAAGAAGAAGAAGAAGAAGAGAGAAGAGAAAAGGTGTGTTGTTGTGTCGGTCAATGAATAAGCGTTATGAATTTAAATGATACTAATAAATGACACGTCATACATTTTTAAAGATATTATTTAAAATATCACATTTTAAGTGTATATATATGTATTATTTTTTAAATACCTGAAAAAAAATATTTTCCATTGATAAAAAAAATTATTTCCAAATATATAAATGAAATAAATTTTTCCAAAAATATTACAAAACGAAAATTAACTTTTTCACATCCAAAACTAATTTTTAAATCATAAACACTAAACTCTTCCTCTATTGACTATACTTCAAAATATATATAGTTAGACTATATATTAAGAAAAGGTTCTAAATTTTTGAGTATAAGTTATTTTTGGAACATAAAACTTTTGTGATATTTTTTAAAAAAAGAAGCACATTGGGGTATTTAGACAAAAAAAATTGAAAAAAAACTTAAAATGTGTTATTCGAATAAAATTTCTCAATTTTTCATGATTTTACTGACTATTTAATATTTATATTTAAAGTATACTTTTTAAAAATAAATTTTAGTGTTGAGGACTTAAAATTTAGTTCTACTTTTGTCATATTAGTTTTTATAAATATACATATTAATAATATTTCAAAAAAATAACATTTCTAGTAGTATTTTTCAAAAAGTACCCATTTCAATAATATTTAACAGAATTTTTTAAAACTTAGTTGTTAGAGAAGATAATTATTTTGTAGAAACTCTATTGGTCCAATATGTAATAAGAACTGTTTGCGTAATTTTATCTATTGAAAGAGAAGAAAATAATCTAAAACCAGTATAGAAAAGTAAAGATTAATATAAAGTATTGTAATAGTAAATTCAATAGGGTTGGAAAGAGTGACTATGTTAAAATTATTTTATAATATGTAATAATTAATAAATTTAAAAAATATATATATAAAAAAAGAGAAAATAATTATTTATTGAGGGTAAATAACACGTATGTGAGATATAATACATGTCGGAAACGTCTAGTTTGAAACAACAAGACACGTTTGTATTTTGGAAGCTTCTAGAAAACAATTATATATATGTAGTGTGCATCTACTTCTACTTGAAAACGTCTTTATACGTCTATGTTTAGGTTATGCCATGTGTTAACTTAACTGTTATGAGGTAACAAGCTTAATTACTACAATAATCCGAGTTTAGTGTTTTTAAAATTATTTCATTACAAAAATTTAATTATGCCGTGATGTGTAAAGCTTACTGGCTATCACTAAACAACTCCATAGGACCAGTTACAACAACACCAAGATCTGCCAGCAAGATATTCATCCATCCACATGTGCTTACGCAAAGCAAAATTTCATGACAATGGGTATGCTCGTTTGGTCGCTGCATGGGGTTACGGCAGCGGTCGGCTACGACGAATGCAATGTTTTTGGTCGCTAAATTAGATCGACATTCAAAAATTTTAATCGCAAATCGTTGTGTTCGCCGCTGTGGTAATCTTCGACAACAAAACGAACAACAATTTTTACCGCCGTCCCAACCGTAGGTACCTGCGACGATAAAACGAATAGACCTATAATATTTAACCTCTGCTGAAGAATGGGACATTGAATAATATATTTTCTTCAAAATTAATTTTCATTAATATAATTTATTAAGTATCGTAAAAAAAACACTAAATACTAATAAAAACTTGTTCATAGTTCTTAACCAAGTTATTTTATTATAATTATTATAAACAAATCCTTACAATTTCTTTAAGTACTTTTGTATAGCTAACACATTATATAAGTTGAATTCCATCTAAGTTCATTTTTCCTTTTTACATAATATAATTCATAATCATAAAATATCCTATCAATGCACCCATGGCTGTGTAACGAAAGGATATAATTATTTTTGATAGTAAAATAACACTTGACCATGGTCCATGGAGAACAAAGAAAGAAACTATAATAAATTTGAAGTTCTTGGTCAAGTGTTACAAATGCTTCATACTCAATGAAGTAGTTTTAATTCTGTAATTGTTCAACTTTAAATGATTACCAAAATAATAAAATATTATGGCCAGAAATATTTTCCCACAAAGAGTGTTTTGACTGTAAGTATATATTTCCATGAATTCGCATTAATTATGGTAAAAACAAATTGGGTAGGAAATCTGAAAGAATCATTATGGTCAAAATAAAATATTTGGGTATTAATCTGAGATTTTGTAAAACCACAAAATTATATAAATATAGCTTTTTTCTAAAGAACTTAAGCTATAGAACATATTTTCTTCTTACCAGAAATAAAAGTAAAAGAATGAGTATCAGGAAAATCTCTATCACCTTTTTTCTTGTAATAGTATTGACAATTTTGTTATTGGACAACAATGTTTTAGCCGTTTCAGGTACGATGTTTTTTACAAGAAGAATTATCTTCTATCTTCATATTATTATATGATTATTTTTGATAATATTAACACTAACAGTGAATATTTTACTTTTTCATAATATATAATTGAAAATAGCCATTATATATAAATCTAGGTACCATATGTACATGTTTTAAGAATTTTGTTTTAAGTGTGTAGAAATGTTAAAGAGATAAACTTAATATATATAATTTTTGTAATGGATTGTAAATGTAGGACCGAACTGTTTTGCTAAGTGTGCTATAGGATATTATGGAGATTATCAATGCACCCATGACTGTGTAGCGAAAGGATACAATTATGGAAGTTGTGTTCCAAATCCGAGATTTGGAAAATGTTGTTGCACAAGAGAATAAACATAAATTATTTTCTTACAATTGGTGATTCAAGCGATGAATTATGTTTTTATTAGCTTTTCAATTGTAAGGTGTACTAAATTTATTGAAATAAAAGTTATTTTACTATCTGGTATTGCACTAATTGTTTTTGTTTTTAATTCTTTTTTAGTTTCCACAATAATTATGGTTGTTATAATACCAAAACGTTTGCATTTATGGAGACATCAATTTGTGTCTTTGTGAAACTTTTTTACTTTGCTCATGTTGGTACATGGTTTAGCACCAACGACATAACCACATTTAACCGGATAAGAACCGGACGATTATACCAGCTAGATCTCCATTCAAATATGGGCTATTGGGCCACGACCCAATAGGTCGCCGACGTAGCGTGGAGGGGAAGTTCCTAATCAGAATAGGTTTATATTTCCTAAGAATATTTGGAAATAACATCTTGTAATTCATATAAATAGGGGGTTTGTCCCCTATTTTGCGGTATTGAAACATTAATACACCAGAGCACAATTCTCTCATATTCACCAATTTTTTTCTCTTGCTAATCAAAACCCTAATCGAAACCCTAGTTCTTCATCTTTAAGCATTCTTCATCATCTAAATCTTCTAATCATATCATCTTCTCAATCGGATCTATCCAAACCCCGGTTAATCCCCTTGTGTGAATCCTGTTTCCACAGCTCACATCAAGGGGACAGTGCTTAGAGCGAGATGTTGCATTATGGTGACATTTAGATAACAAGTATAAGCCTGGTTTTTCTATACATTAGAGACATGGTTGCAAATTAGGCAAGAGAAGCCAATGGTGAGCAGGTACAAAGGTGTTTGGTTCTCGGGCTCCATACCCAATTATTCGTTTCTGCTTTGGCTAGCTACAAGGAAAAGAGTCATGACGGGGACCGTATGCTAGCTTGGAGAAGGGGAGTGAATCCATCTTGTGTCTTTTGTAGGGCACCAATGGAGACGCTGGAGATTCTGTTTTTTTCTCTGCAATTATTCATCACAAATTTGGCGGGCTCTAACTAGTGAGCTTCTCGTCTCATCCGGAATAAACTCTCATCTCTAGAACTGCATTCTCATAAAGATTATGAGATTAGATATTGGATATGGGAATCAGTTTCCTCCTTGCTTCTTGAAAAGACCAGACCGTTTTTTTAAGCAACTAGATTAGACTAAACCAACTAATATATATTGAACTAATTCAAATTAAATTTAACCAACTAAACCATATCAAACCGATGAACCCAATTAAACCAATCCAATTCTAAATAGCCAACTAAACCTGCAGAATAAACCAAAAACCAATCCAATCAACAAATATCATTAAACCAGCAAATATCCACCAATTAGCTAAATGAACCATCATGCACAGCGGAAACAACAAAACACACTCTAATTAATCATAATATTAATTAACCAATCATTACATCACCACAATTAACACCAGCAACCTAGCATGGTTCTAATTCAGGTTCCAACAACATAACATAACCATAAACACAACAATCGAGATCCTAGATCATCCTCCTCCTCATTGCCTTGATTCCACGTTACACTTTACCTGCACCACAAACGTAATGGGATGTGTGAGTATTATCACAAATACTCAGTGAAGCGATCCTCCCATCTACTGGGCTATACACGCAAGCAATTAAGTTCATGATCACACATCAATAATACCAAAAACAACCAAACGAGTCAATAAAAAACCACAAACTACGCTCATAGAAAACTGGTATCGCTCGACACCACCAACTAGTGTCGGTCGAGACCCACTACTGGTGATAGTCGACACGACCACCCGATAGCACCACAAAACTGCAGTGGGAATAACCGTCTGGTGTCGGTCAACACCCACACTGTGGAACACATCCAATGACGATCTCATCCACCAAATCATTTCCCACGCTGACACAACCAAAGAACATCCACACAAGGCCACACAAACACCAGAAACACATAAAACAACAAGGAAAATTAATCCACACATCAAATAAACACAAATCACACAATCTTAATGCTTAGGTAAGCCATTGTCATGCACTCATCTTGATATGGAACGAAAAATGACAATAACAACACAATGACAGGCAGCACTAGACTCTCCTAACACCACAGCCACGAAACTCTCTTCCCTTTAGTCAAAACTCTCAAGAACAACACCCAAATCTCTCTAAAAGTCCACAGAACTTCACAGGAAAACTTAGGAACTTTCTCCACTCTTCTGAAAGAACAAAAGCGGTTGATAACCCTTCAAGACGTCG